AGGGTGGGAGATGGAAACGCGCGGCCGGAAGAGAGAACGAGCGAGCGCGGCCGCGAGTTGGTCAGGGACGGCGCGTTTCCGCTCGCGAATTCCCGTGTGAGGGATGGATTGAGAGAAAGATAGAGAGATTGAAACGAGGAAGAGAGAGAGAAAGAAAACGAGGGTGAACAGAGAGACGGAGAAAGGGGGAAAAGAGGGGGAGGGAGAGAGAGAGAGAGAGAGGGAGAGGGAGGGAGAGCTCGAAACAAGAGAAAAGACGCTCGGTCGTGAGCGAGATGGGACGTAAATTTTCTAGCGGTTCGTTCATTTGTTCGTTGAACGAAATGCGAATGCATTATACATGGATTGCAGGGGACATTAATTTTCTGCCGTGGACGTGTAGTGGGCCGCGCGCGCGGCAGAGCGGTAGGGCCGTGCCGGGCCGGGCCGGGCCGCGGGCTGCGAAGGGGGTGGCCGAGCGCGAAGGGGTGGGTGGCCATCCACCCGGCATATAACATTCACCCGGTACGAGACCCGGGACGCACGGGTGTGCGGGACGGCCAGCACACACCAGCGGTCAGACCGAGGTGGTGGAAAGGTGGAAAGGAGGGAGGTGGCGATTCCACGGGCTGTTTCGTGCTCACACGTCCAACCACGTGCGAGCTTTTGCCGGGCTTTCTACCTACTTTCGCGTGCTCGGTGATTTTGACGAGTGGTGCGGCGAGATGTAACGGCGCCGCGGAAAAAAAATGCGCTAGAGATGTCGTAAACGGCCGGCGGCAGCTGGCGGACGCGCGAGATCTCGCGAAAAGAGTCGCAGGCGCGGCCGGCGTCAAAGGGTCGCTACGCGGCGAAAGGGCGAACGGGGTGGGAAATCATTGGACGTTCTGTCAGAGGTGTTTGATATTCCGAAAATGATTTGCGCCAACGCTAGAGGTAGAGCGCCGGTATGAGAGAAAAGAGTGAGAGAGACAGTGCGAGAGGATTGGAGGATATCAGAGGGTGTTGGCAGAGGGAGAGAGAGGCAGGCAAACCGAGCGAACAGAGAGAAAGGGGGAGAGAGAGAGCTCGAGGGTAGTAACCGTACGTCAAAATTAAATGTTGAAATTCGTGTAGAATGTCTGGCGCGATAAATTCGTTCGTGCAACAATGATCACGATTTTTAATGGAATAAAATTGAAATTGTCCGGGCCCCGAAATGACGGATAGAATTTATGGCTCGCACGAAAATGCAACGTGGCAGCAAATATTATATTTTACCTATGGCTGTCCGAGCCAGGCGATATTTCAAAATATTAAAGCGCGAGATGTTAAGAAAAAAAAAAGTGCGCGATCAATTTTCAAATTGTAACTGCCTTATCAGTGGAAAATTGTAGCTCCTCGTGCCGATAACTATTATGTAATTATTATTGCAACGTCTTTGCGCTTGCATCGCGTATGAAGGATTGCGTATCCTCGGGTTCATGAAATTTCGGGGAAGTTCAATGTCGAATGTCGGAACGAATACTTGCCAAAGTGCACCGATTCGTCAAAAGTTCCTTATAATCCGTAATTCCTGTAGTCGACAAAGGGGTTTCAAAGAGTTGGGGCTAGACCCTTCGACAAGGCAACCTCGAGCGGATCCCTCCTCCCGCCCCACCGCGTTGTTCCATCTCTTGTCCTTTCGTTTCGCACGCGAGATTTTAAATTTAATCATAACTCTTCGTAGCTCTCCGCGCGAGACCACGCGAATTATTACAAGATGGCAAGCTATTATATTAAAATGAGGAATTATTTTATTATTTTTTTAAAACGCATCGCTTCCGAACCGAGGCCGAGCCACCGAGGGAATTATCCGTCTTTCGGAATACGTCGTTAATCGTCGTCCGGGTTATCGCTTTTGTTTAACAAATTAACAGAAACTTAATAATTTACAAAAGTCGATTAACGAGAGGTCATTGAATAAATCACACTCTGTCATAATGCGCATTTGCGGATTAACACCTTAGCAAGTGACACGGTCGATTAAACGATAAACGAGGTAGAAAAAAAAATGAATGCCAATTGCACGCTTGAAATATCAATGCTACGTATGTGTTACCCGCAATGTCCTTTTATCACTTTTTTTTTATTATCGTACTCGGCGCCGCGTCAGTGCAAACGTTTATCGCATAATAGTGCGGGAAAACTGACTGTTTTCATGGAAACGAATGACCGGCCGGAGTCGTGCGTTCTATGTCATTATTTCCCTTTTATGAACGGGAGAAAGAGTAGAGGTGTGCTCACTTTGTAACCCTTCTCGCCGCGTTTGTACCTACCATCGCTGCTTCCGGTAACGTCGAGCACACAAAAAAGGCGAATATTACGTATGTGCGAGCGTACACGTGGGCGAGCTCATCATTCTACAAATAAATGTTTCAACCGGCAATTAAGCGCCGACAATAAGAAACCACTAGGCTTCCTCCCTGATGCCACTGTTGTTATAGTCGGTATATTAATACGTTTTTAATTGTAGCGCGACAGAAAACATACGGTCTCGGGCGGAGTAGGGAAAAACCAAGTGTCCCTTCGTAAAAATTCCAATAGTGCCCTTTCTAACGTTCCCTTTTTTTTGTCTTCTTCAACGAGACCGTCCTTATTGCACAATTTAATACCTTCTCCACGTAAAAGAATACTTTGTTTCGCCATGTCAGTGTAAGAGCGAAAAAAAAAGGGACTTGGTCACTCGTGAACAAGCCGAGACCGTATGTTTCCTGTCGCAATTAAAAACGTATTACACCAGTTATAACAACGGTGACGTCGGAAACCAAGTCTAGCTGTTGTATAACAATGCCGACTTCGTCAAGTCGCATACTTAAATTATTTGGGAATTATAAGCGATTATCAATTTCATTCGCATCGTGTATTCTAGGAAAGCACGATGCGCGGAGTTGAATACAAAACAACGTACGCAGAAGCGGATTCTTATCGTAAATAAGTTAACACAACGCGTTTCCACCTCGCGCGAAAACACCTATGCAAAAGTGTCTTTCTCCCACCGCGGTCATCTCGGGTGGGAAATAAATACGAACGATCAACTCGCTCGTTTCCTCCGGGGAATCGCTTCCTTTAATAACAGACTCGCCAGTGCCACGCCGTCGTTCTAAAATCCAGCCACTTTTATCGTGTATCGTACACGAAGAGGCGGTCCATCATCTTTCGTAGCGCAAAAAAAAGACGTACTTACACTTAAATATGCATTTCGCCGATGGCGCCTTGTTTCTTTTTTTTTACGCTCGAAAGTTTCAAATGCCAGCGCGCGATAAAAGATTGCAAAATCTAATTTTGCTCGCTCGAGTTATTTTTATTAAATCGAACACGATGAGAAATTCTCCGATGAATCACGCGACTGAATAAAAGATGAATCCCGTGGAACGACTGAGAGTAAGAGGAAGAGGCAGGCGAGAGAGAAAGAGAGAGAGAGAGGGGGGGGGGAGAGAAATAAAGAGGTAGAGCAAGAGAGCAGAAGGAACAAGTGCCCGGGGTAAAAAGGATTGGGGAAGAATGTCGATATTAATAAAAGTTAAATTGAGCCAATCGCTTGTGGGAATTAGAATCGAGTCCACTCGAGACGAACGGCGAGCCGTGGAGAGGAGGGGGAAAAAAACGCAATAAAAACGCAGCGGCAGCTGAAGTCTGCCTCTCGAATGCTGATCGATCGACGCGATTAAACGATCGAGAGGCTACGTTATTTTATCATTATTACGCGGGCGGGACGCTTAAGTATTCGTATTTTGAAGCAAACAGAAATTTTCCTAAGACCAAGTGCAATAAATAACATCGCGCATTTGCATGGAAAATATTTGCGCGTTAGCCGCCTCCAATTTGCGCAGTAGCCGGCGCCGTCCGCGCCTTTCTGCCCGCGGCGCGGAGAAAAATGCGGTATTTTTCTTCCCACCTACTCTTCGATGTAGATGTAGAAACCTGTTGCATGCCCGTAAAAAAAAAAGCCACGGGGAAAAAAGCCGAGAGTCACTGACCAGCCAATTCACTTCCTAAGCGCGTTTTTCCACATAGCTTCTACCTTTTAAGAGCGTGCCGAGGAGTGAGAGACATACTTGGCGAGCTGACAAACGAGTCATTAATGACGTTTCAATCTCTTCATCAATCTTCGTCGCGCCAGACCGCGAGGACAAAGTTAATATTGAATGTACGATACGTTAAACGGATGATACCTACTCTTACACGCCAATCAAAAGTAAACGGTATAAAACGGCTTACGCGGAACATGAATACTTTACGTATGATTACGAATAATAGGAAAGATATAAATAGATACAAATACGATAATCCATCGAAATATGAAAGTCGAATAAACTGAAGCTTTCGAGCTTCCGATAATTTGTAACAAATATTACGTGCCGATTGGCGCCGAGGAGATTTACGTACCTACACGCCAACGCTTATTCATCTTTCGATGGAGGATTAAATTTGGAATTTCGAGCGATCTCTAGGAAAATCACGTGGCATGACCGGCGCGAATTTCCCGATCGAGCGTGTACGGGGCCGTTACGTGTTCCACCGTAACACAATTTACGTACGCTCGTGCACAGCCGCACGAAATTCTAATACGCCTTACGGTATCTGATCGCAGGTGAACGACCGTACAAGTGCCATTTACCGGACTGCGGGCGGGCCTTCATCCAACTGTCGAATTTGCAGCAACACCTGAGGAATCACGACGCTCAGGTGGAGCGGGCGAAGAACCGGCCGTTCCACTGCAACATCTGCGGCAAGGGTTTCGCCACGGAGTCCAGTCTCCGTACCCACACGTCGAAGGTCAGTCATGTATGTACCAAATCCGACGTCCAACTCGCAAATTCGCTGATACGCGGTGCCGGTAATTAACCGAGGGGGAAATGAAAAAAAAAAGTAAAGAAGAAGGATCGATCGATTTCGGTTTGATCGCGCGTGCATATACATATACTTCCGCTATAATCGCTCCTCTAACGACCGAAATCTTGTATTAACTCTTTCTCGCGCGACACGTTCTCGTTAATCGTACGCACGCATATGGTGGTGGTGGGTTCACGCTTGCCTCGATACTTGTACAGATAGAATTCCCGTTTAAACGCTCTTTGTCCGCCGTTTCCTTTGTTCCGTTTCGAGGGCTCCCTATATAATCGATGCAAGTCTCAAGCAAGTTAAAACAGTCGTCGTCGTCGTCGTCGTCGTCGTCGTCGTCGTCGTTGGAGATGCGACGGGACGTATCGAGCTTAAGTGCATACCGGCAAACATCAAGCTTGCGAATAGACAATTCAAATCCAAGCACGTCCCAACCTAAACAATCGCGCCATGAATTTCGTAGTTTCTCCCTTTTGTAGATAGCGTGTATTTACTCTATCAAAATAACCATCTATCGAGAGCTTTGGATAAGTTGCTCTGGGATCCTTCGCGGGGTGCTTGGGCTTGCTTTCGCCTCTGAGTTCTCATACGGCGCTTATCATCGCAGAATCGACGACTAACCGACTCGAGAAAATCGAAAACAAGATTGTCGCTTGAGTCGATATAGAAATTACAGCGATCCTCTGACAGAGGTGGCAGGGCAGAAGTTGAAGAGACCGATCGCGCCGAATATAATTGACGCCCTCGACAGAAATCCGACGAACAGAGATGTCACGAGGGGCGAGGAAGCTCTTTGATATACATTGCATTACAAGCGATACAGACCGGAGGATTTTCTCATACAAGTCGCCGTGAATGAACAATCGTTGTTTACACACGCACGAGCTTCACGGTGGCCAGGGGTGCGTGGCACCGACCGGTTATTAGAGGGACAGAGGTTTGAGGAAAAAAAAAAGCGCGGTCTGATCTGAGAAAAAGACCACGACCCCCGTGCCCGTTAATCGAATTCACCCCTCGCTCGCGTGGAATCGCGGCTCGCAGCGATTACCGGCGGAATCTTGTATCGTGGGGCAGTTTTTTGCCGCCGCCGCCCCACCCGGCCGGCAACTGAATTTCTCAACCCTTTCGCCTTCCGCGCCGGGCACATGTCTCAGCGAAAAAACGTGGGAAGGCATCTGTCGGCTTGTACGTGAGGCGCTCCTCTGTCCCTTTCTTTCGCTCCTCTCCTTTACGTCTCCTTCCTCTCTTCCTCCTTTCTCTTCGCCGCCGTGAAAACCGCCGTTCGCACTTTTTTCTAATTTATGCTGATTACGTTACCCAACAATTCGCAAAACGACATTTCTGCCAATGCGTTCGGCGCGCTCAACCGTGAAACGCGACGTTCTACCGCGAAACGAAATACCAGAAAGTGCTCGAGCGCGCAAAATGTAGATCGTCGTCATCTCTCGGGGACGTACGATTTTCGCGAGTCGCGGAATCAGGTGCGGGGCGCGTCCAGGCTTTGCGCGAGCTTAATCCGTTCGCACGTCGGACGGCCCCGGCAATAAATATCGTTCTTTTAACGCCCGGCTCATCGGGCTCCTCTAATTGAAACCTAATCCACGGCTAAAGCCGTCAGATTATCCCGTTACCGCCCCCCGCACGACCCCGATAAATCACCCGTGAAATCATGTCGACGGCCCCCGCCTTACGAGCCCACCAATTTTTTTTTCTCCTAAAAGCGCGCAGTTACGAAAGAATGAACTGACGCATAATGACGACCCCATTACCGCCACCGGTTTTTTTTTACCCGCCGTGCGATAATCCTCGCGCTAATGAGAATATTTTTTGCAGTCGAGTTATTTGACCCTTGGTTTTTTCACGTATAACGGACGGCCTTGATGAGTTTTCCCTGATGGTAGGGCAGCTCGCCCTGCGCGAAACTATTCCTGAATAGCTGGCTTATGCGCGCGAGATGAATGCGTCAGATTAAATACTAATACGAAATATGCGGCAACGTATCGAGCTACGGCGCCGCGAGAACGGCGGCGTTGTCCAGGCTTATCGGCAAAAAGCATCAGGATGCACGTAGCGCGCGTTAAACGAGGAAGAAAAACCACGGGAAGTAACGAGAAGAAATGGAGAAGATGCAGAGGAACGGGAGAAGAGAGGGGGAGAGAGAAGATCTTACGGCGAGAGCGCAGCGGCGAAGTAATTAAAAGCCGCCGGCGCGAGCGCGAGCGCGACAGAAACAGAGTACGCCCGCTGGAAATAAAACGAAACGAAACAAATGGAGAGCTCGAGCCCATCTTCCGCGGCTAATCGAATTTTCGCCGGGGCAGATTTCTTGAAATTGTTTTCGCTATTTCAGACCGCCTAGTCGCCCCGTCTCCTTCGCGCCGGGCTGCTACCCCCGATAGCTAATGGATCGTTGTTTAAAAAAAAAAATAAAATAAAAATAAAAGAGCAGCGAGAGAGAAACAGAGAAAGAGGAAGAGCAACCGGAACGCGAGATAGCTCGAGACGCAGAGAAAGCGAGACGACGAAGAAAGAGGAACGGCTCACGGAAGTACACGGCGGAGAGTAAGGGGAAATGAAAGAGTTACGCTCCAGGTCGAGGCCTGGCGTGTCGGCGAAACATTATCCCGCTAAGAAAGACAATACACCCAGAGTACAATATTATAATAGGCTGGAGCGTAAATGTATTATAGAGAACGATCGGTAGCCCGGGCATAGAAACTCGTCTATGGTACCTACACATCTCCCCCTTCCCCTTCCCATCTCCTTCTCTCCTCTCTCGGTGTATCCTATTAACTGTTACCCTCTTCCCGCTCGGCTCGGAACAGGGGCGGATCATCGCAACGATACACCGCCGCGATATGTCTCCGCTTAATACGCCCACGCTCCTAAATTTCGTGTCGCCGGACCACGGGAGAGTTCATCTCCGCGTCGAAATTTCTTCCCGCTTGTCGTCAGGGTGTAAAATCTCCCGACCTCTCGTGATACATTGCCGCGCGCGCGAGCACGAGCTTTCTCTTTCTTTCTCTCTCTCTCTCTCTCTCTCTTTCTCTCTCTCCCTCTCTTGTTGTGAAACTTTTACTTCGGGACCGAATTCGACTGTAAATGAGAACGCGAAATTATGAATGTTTTACCGTGAGCCTCGCGCGAAATTGGCCAGCCCTGATCTCTTTCTTCTTCTCGTGGCTCCTAGCCACTCTCACATGGCGCGCAGCCTTCGTATTTATTCGTAGTTTAGCGGTACAAGGGTTGAATGTCGCGCAACACGATACAACCCCCTTTTCTACCGCCTCGCGGACCTTCCTCGCGTATCTTCCGACCTTCTTCCGACTCACCTCCGGGGCCTTCCTGTCGTCCCTCCGCGTTCCCCGGACCCTCCTCCACCCCTCTTCTTAATTGCCCCGACGCGCGGCTCGGTAAAAACTCGTTAACCATTAGATTTATTTTCCCTCGCCACGGAGATTCATATCCCTCTCCCTTTTGCTGTGCTAAAAACCGCGCGGCGGTTGTGTCACGTTTAACGCTAGATTTTTTCTTTTTTGTACACGCGCGATCCTCGTTTTCGCCGCGTACGGATTGATCGCCTGCGATAAATGTAAATCGCTGTTTGCGCGTGGGATGGAGGTGGTTTTACCCGCTTATCGCGCCGTATTTTCGCCAACACGGAGCGCTAATTAATTACCGTGCTCGCGGTATTTACGCGATGATTTTTTTTTTATCAATTTCTTCCGTGAGAGCGTGCACACACGCGATTGGTATGGACACTCCTGAAAATCTAAACCTATGACTGACGATTTAATGGTATCACATTAATTCAAATTGATCTCCATTTCATGCTGGTCTCTCTTTGTCGCAGTGTTCGAAGTACCCATGGCAACGATTAAAGGTAAAACGATCGGGTCAATATATGGGAAAGCCTATGGGAATTCCTTTCGACTGTAATTTCAACTCGGTTTCACGACGCGTTTACATGTGCACTCGTCGCACCTGTAAAATTGTGGTCTCCAATTTTCATTATGATGATCCATTCGCGCGGAACACGCACGCACACATCACTGTTCACGCATACGCACATCCTCCGTCAGTTACGCAGTTTTCTCGAAATGCGCGAAATTGATAGCGTTATGGCGCGAAATTATGATACGGCGCTTCGCATTTTTCGTGCCTCTGATGCACGCTGCCTATATTTAATTAACGGCGCGTCACGTGAAATTGTATATTGCAGGACGCCGACAAAGTGTCGCTGCCTGATTGATCTCGCGTCGCGAAGACTGTGAAACGATTACAATGCAGCTCTTGTTCCTTTTTTCCCCCCCCCTACGTCATGAGTATGCAATTCATTAATGTCTCATGTCGCGACAGTCGTAATAGCGACAGTCATGGAGCTGCGCGATGATGTATCACCGAAGAGCGCAACGCAAACGCTTTCGCCTGTCGATCGCGGCTAATTGCCGCCTCTTAATTTCGGAACGCTCTTCTAATTAAGCCGAGGTTCGCGCTCCACGCTTCCTCACCGAACGCCTCTCCTCTCTCGGATTCCCCAGCACGGCCTCTTTCTCTTTCTCTCTTTCTCTTTTTCGTCGGTAAACATCACCGGCTGGCGAATCTCCAGAAGGACTTTTCGCTCTTTGTCTCTTTTGCGGCATTAAAATAGAAAAGTGGGACGGTCTTTCGCGGCATAACCCCACGAGAATCTGCTCGCTCCTACGAGATTTTGCGCCGTCCCGCGACTTTTTCGGTCAGTCTTTTCTCCCGCAGCAACTCTCGCACTCGTTTCACGCCGCGAGGGTAAGAAGATCGCTACTAAAACCGATAGAATGACATCTCTGTGCAGATCGTGTCGCAATTTTTTTACATTAACTTTGACTAGTCTTGCAACCACTTCGCTTCGTGTGAACTTTCGTGCTCGCGAGTACATTTTCCAATCGCGCGCGCTT